GACACCATGCTTCTGCAGGGACTCCACACCTACCCAGGGAGTTCCTGGGCATACTGTGACAACCCAGGAAGACAAAGGCAGTGCAGACATCAATTACAAGTCAAAGGGCAAGACACTGCAGATGCCACAGAAAAGCAGATACTCTTTTAAACTCAATCAGTGCTGACCCAAGCAAACCACTAAAAAAAAAAAAAAAGTAATCAAAGCAAGAGAAAAGAGCTTGGATTGATGCATACATTCATGTATGCTTCCTCTTTCTTTCTTTCCCTCCTTCATGTAGTTCATAGCTTCCAAAACTACTCCGTGGTCCCTTCTTCAGATTATATTATTCTTCACGGACATCATACAAAGACAAAAATCAAACAAATGAAAAAATGGAATGCTTTGGCTTTATGACATCAAAGACTAAAGCAAACGATTGCATTCGGTCCTTGAATTCAAGAGTAGCAAAAGCTAGAGATGGTCAATGGCTACCACAGAAGCCCTGGTTTTCAAACAGCTTGCTGAGCAAGGCAGTTACCTTTCTCCTTGCTCAGGCTTAGGCTAATCTTGGCAAGTGTACTTCATTTGTTCTTTAGTGTAATTAGCACAAAGCATTCACACAGGTATGTATGTCTGGAAATTCAAGCAGACATATCCAGGAAAACACGCTTTTTCTTTCCTGCCCATCTGTGACAGACACCTTTCTATGTTGTGGCCCAGAAGCACTGTTGGCAGAAGCCAACACAAGAGGCCTGGAAAACATCGATTATTCTGTATAGCTACCTCTTCTGGGCATGAGGAGCAATAAGTCACTCAGAATCACACAATCTGAGGAAAAATTAGTAATAGCTATTGTGCTGTCCCAATACTTACCACTTCACATATCTGTTACCCCCCATAATCAGTTCTTCAGCTAACTTGAACGCTCCCCCCCCTTTTTTTTTTTTGTAAAGACACTTCTGCAGAGTTTCTAGAGAGCTCTGTGATTTACATTTACATGACTAGCAGCCAGGGAAAAAGAACAGTGTCTGACAGTCTCACCAGTAGCCCTGTCAGGGAGTATCCTTGAGATACACTGTTTACTGGCTGGAAGACTGGCTCTTCCAGTTAACTACAGAGAAGAAGAAATGGACAATGGAGGTAAGTCCTCTGAACTTCTGGGAGCCCTGAAAACAAGGGAGTAGGAGAACATGAAAGAAAGAAAAAGGACATAAACCAAGATACTATGCAAATCTAAAGACAACAATCACAAATGTGGAAAAATTTTTGGAATAAAACCAAGCCCCAATGCTTACTAGCTACTGCTGTGCGCTTGTTTTTTAAGTAGTCCATATGCATATATTAACACCACCAATACACCAGCATGGCATGCCAAGAGTGAAAAAAAAGGAGCCTGCAGAAATAACTCATCGAACTTTTAGTGCAGATGTGGCAGACATTTAAGGAGATGTCAAGAGGGCCAATGACTCTCTTCATCAAGTTTTAAATCAACTTATGAAGACATGACAGTGACATTCTGTCCTTCAGAATTAGCAACCAAATCTACCTTAGACAATTAAATTGCAAAGCTTAATAGTTATTAAATTACAACAGAGTTTTTCTTCTTTCAAGAGTTATCTCAAGTTCCTAAGCAGGCCAGTTATTCCTCTCCTCTTCTCCGTTTGTATTCTTGGCTCTCAGCCATTTCTGAGATCAGACAAATTCCAACTGCTGAAATTAATCCACTGTCTCAGGTTTAAAGAATATATCCAGGATATCTCTCATACAGAGGTAGGAGTCTAGTTATAACCATTATTCCAACCGTGCAGTTTAAAGTGTTTGCTCTTTAAAGTAAAGCTACTGTACGGGAAGAGTGTTTCATCCACACACGTTACACGTAGGTGCACATTCATGCACTCTAACGTGCAAGTCATAAACAGTAGGTCATAAACATTACCAAACTAAGTTACAGCTGGTATCTGCATTTTTTTAAACAATGAAAACAAAAAAACCCAACAAGCAATGGCAATGTTTCTTTGGAAGTCTGGTGAAACATCAAAAAAAAAAAAAAAAGACACCTAAGCCCAAGTAACCACACAGGACGACCAAAAAACCCACCTTTTTTTTTTTCTCCTTATTATTGCCCCAGACTAGAGTTTTCAAAGGGAAATTTAAAAAGCTAGGCTACCAATTGTTGTTATTTCCTTGTGACTTATAGGTACCTGAATATGGAGATGATACAACCATCACATTAGAAAAAGAAAGTAAGATTTCAGAATAATTTGAGACCAAAGGCTCAGTAACTTCCTATGGAATTTATGTGCTTTGGAAAAACCCAGCACCATCTCTTTAAAATGTTCTATAACAGATGCGTTTCCCCGGATTCAAAGAAGAAAAGAGAACAAATGATAGGTTTAAATAGCACCAGCATACTATAATGACGAGCACTTAAAAAACCAACAAGTTTACACAGAACACAACATTTTTCAAGCTATGTTCTCTCTCTATCAACTCCCACGCACATTCAGATGCAGAGAGTTATGATGATTCCACTTCACAGTCGCAAAACACCATTCCCCTCCCAGGTTCAGCAAGGCATTGAGTAAGTTTTGAAAACACTGCGCTTCAGAAATGCAGATACCTGGAGGTTCAGGCAAGATCTGAGGAGCCTGCTAAAAAAATGCAGGGACAATCACAGGAGATATTAATAAAACAAGAATTTTCATCTGCTTTATTTGAACATTAGCTGGTGAGTGTAACATATATATTAAACTAAAATGAGAAAAAATTATCAGCAATGATATGCAACATGAAAATTGCTCACCAGTTTCCCGAAGTCATTAGTAGGTAATTTAGAAATTTGGCATGGAGACAGGAATTGCCCTCAGGTGCTCTCAGTGTCAATGTGGCTGTTACATATGGCACAAATTCCACAGCAACAGAACCCATTTGCCATAAGAACCATGACTTTTCAGGTATAACTTACAATCCATTTCCCAAATATTTTAGATCTTTTGAATCAAAGTTTCCACCTGCGATGCCAGAAGTCATCAACCATATTAAAAAAAAAGACAGCAGGTGACAATGTTCTTGACCAAATTACAGGTTCAGCACAATAACTCCAAAGGGAGCTTGCCCAAACACAATAAAAAAAGACCCATGACGTGCGGCATCTAGCCAAGAGCCAACACGGATTGCTGAACCAGCTGTGAGAAATGGCACACTTTTACATTAAAGTTAATCTCAAAGTTAATTACGACTGTTATTTCTGCTCCATTGTTTTATAAATCTAATTTTATTTATAAATATCCTCCCGCTTTGCTGGCCATGTACACAGGAATCTCCACCCCCCTAATACTTCAAGGGACATCAATCTTGAGGAAATGCAACTCCCACACTTTGACTGTTACAGGAAAAACAATGTTGTTACGCAACACTACGCTGTTCCAAAACATCTCAAAGTCAGACCCTCAACTTCAGCAGTTTCAGAGGCAGAAATGGCACTTTATCAGCTATGGAACAAATTCACAGAATATTGCAAACAGGGTCCAGATAATTACAAGGTTTATGCACGAGGCTCCTCTGCAGCAAAAAGAGGTATTCCGTACCTACAAATGTGCACATGCAGGTATTTAGGAAATCCATAAAATTTAGGACTTCCAAATACTCTCATATTATTTCCTAATTTAACTGCAGATTGACCAACAGAAATGCTACCAAATAGCACTTCCCACACCACTTCTCTAGCATTTTCTGCCAAAGAGGTTTGGGGCTTTTTTTTTTCCCTGAACTTATAAATGGTCATAAATTAAGCAACATTGCCAAGTTTTGTTTGTGAAGGAAGGTTATCAGAGATAACCCCTCTCTCACAGATAACCCCAACTGAACAGAAATGAGGCACAAGTTCCTCTCCCTTGTTTTTCTTAACTTCATCTTTTCCAGACTTGATATTCCTATTGATTATTAAACTCAAGAGGGATTTCAAAAATTCGTCTTTCAGAATGCAGCAATGGGGCTAATTTAAAAGATTAACTCCTGCCACAACGCAGGTAAATAAAACCCTCTCTCACAGATAACCCCAACTGAACAGAAATGAGGCACAAGTTCCTCTCCCTTGTTTTTCTTAACTTCATCTTTTCCAGACTTGATATTCCTATTGATTATTAAACTCAAGAGGGATTTCAAAAATTCGTCTTTCAGAATGCAGCAATGGGGCTAATTTAAAAGATTAACTCCTGCCACAACGCAGGTAAATGGAACCAGTAAATTCTAAATATCAAGAATGCAGTTAAACGTCTCCGTGAAGGACTGCAGCTAACATATCCAAAACTCAGCTAGCTCCACAGCGATGACTTCACAGAGTGCGGTATCACTATTCAGCAACAATTTCAGATAAATGATAAATAACACATCCATCTTCAGTAAAAGCAGATTTCAAAGAAACATACAGTACAATCTCCTACTCAAAATGTAGCTTTTCTTAGAGTTAAAAAAAAAATTCTTTTGTAAAAATTGCTAGGAAACATTTGATCATTACAGTCACCACTTCTCTGGTTTGTGTCTTATCAAAAAGACAGGCAGTTTGCAAAGCTTTGTGCTCAGTCTCTCTTAGCAACCTTTCCTCAAAGCACTGACCTGGCCTGACACTGATAAAGACTGTGGGGAGAGCACAGGCAAAAGGTGATATGGCTCCAATCATACCTTTTACAAACAGATGCTCTACAACAGATTAAAAAAAATAGGAACTTGATCAATAGAGCTGCCACTTTCCAGGATCACAAAACTGTATGTAGGACACCTGTTAAGAGCAAAAGCATTCACTCTCTTTCAAATGGCCAATTATCCAGCATGAGATCAGAGTCCAGTCAGTACAACTACTAATTAGGGTTCTCCCAGCCTTTTTAATTTACAAATTGCTGCTCCATGCCTTCTTCCAGATTCTGAGAGTTATCACAAATGTCTACAAACACAACCGGACAAGTATTTCAAAGCAATTCTGTTCTGTATAGAGTTAATCCAGTGCATTCAAAATAACTTACCCACTAATAGCTTCACATCTCTGACGGTGAAATCCGGGTCAGGCATTCTATAATTAGCAAAGAAAGCAACGTTAAATACTGTCAAGATAAGTATGGGTACACTTTCGTTACCATAATAAAAGAGAAAGAAATGTATAGTGCTCCTTGTCCGTAATGCAGTAGGTGGAATCAAGCAAGGCCTCTCTGAAGTGTGGACAGTGCAAGTTTTAATGACATACATAACATCTTTGCATTGGCAAGTGTACAGAAGTTTCTCTACTTGTAATGAAAGAGGAGAAGAGGTGTCTTTTCAAGCGCTCTCTAGCAGCACTGGAGTCAGAGGGAAGGGAAGAGGTTGGGGGTGATTTCAATAAAATCTAAACCTTTATAGCTCGCTCCTCCTAAGCAACTCGCAGTGCTTTGCAACTGGTGGTGCCTCACGTATATTCCCCGAGGTAAGCATTATCACATTTGCCAGTGGATACAAACTGAGGCATAGAGCAATAAACCAATTTGTTCAAAGTCACATCATCATAGATTGGATTCACTGCTTGGAAATAACATATAAAAAATAATGAATTCAGGCCCCTTTGTTTTAATGACTATTCCAAACCTCCTTGTCTGGCAGAAGACAACCTGGCTGTATTTGGTGGGTAGGATAATTGTTGTTCAATTCAATTTGGGCTAATTCAGAGCTAAATTAAATGGTAGCATAATCAGTTCACCGATGTCGATGCATTTATACGATCAGTTCTAACACAGGCAATGTTTTAGGGTTTAATGTAATTAGACAATAGCCTAGTATATCAAGTGCATGAATTTTATGTGTCAGGAGAGAGTAAAATTCTGCAAGACATAGACTGGATGGAAAAAGAAAACGGAAACAGTAGTGGGGTTTTAAAGCTGATTGACTTTACCTTAATGACAGTATTTCACATTTCACATTGCACAAAAACTGACTAAGGAATTGTAATGAAAAACAGCCCTGTGGGACCTGCCAGCTAGGTGCTCTGTCCGACTTGTACTGTCCTGGGTTGAAGATAAACAACTTGCTTCTGGTCATAGAGGACTTTTGACAAAATTCAGTTAGAAATCAGAACAATCCAGCCCATAGGCAAACTTTTAGAGCAGTAGTTTTTACTATTAAGAAAACACTGAAAGGTAAAGTTAAAAAATCCATTTACTGTCATGCATATATCTTGAGAACTATTTGCCAAATTCTGTTTGTCCACTTTCTTCTACCCTTATCACCTTCCTCTGGTGGGATGTGGAGGCTGGACAATATCTTTTGTTAGTTCTCCGCCAACGCTCACATCTTTGCATTTAGCTGTGAGGGCCCCACAGCTTTGGAATTCACTCCCTTGCCGGAATGAAACAGCCTGAATCTACTGACCTTCAGGGTTCATTCAGAGCTCATCTTTTTTTCCAAGCACTGGAAAGTCAGAAGTAGGGAAAGGAGGAACTATTTGCAGGTAACAAGAACATGCAAGGCTTATCTTCAAATGCCACAGCTTGCCTGTATTTTATGTCAGACATGTAGAATAATTAGATGGGCAATCTTTTTCACATTTGTATAAATCAAAATAAAAATCAACAATCAAGATAGATAACAACCCTAACCCAGATACATACAAGCAAATCAAGTCTTTCTGAGAACTCCAGCAGTAGCCAACAATAAACATTACTCAAACTGGAAGAATACAATCCTCCCTAACAATAAAATTGCATGTTTAGCTCTTTGGAGGGCACACCTGGCATATGCTTGCTTTTTTCTCTGCAATCTCAGGATGTATGATACATTAGAGAACGAGTACACCAAGGGAAGAATTTTAGGCTTGAACACCACAGGTTTCAACTACAAGAACCCATTTTGTAGTTGGGTTGCCTTGGGAGGTCCAGCTTTAATTCAATCCCATTCTGCTGGCTGCTGAGACCATAAATGACTGCACTTCTTCATCTTCAGGCCCACCCAGCACAACTGCCACACTCACTCTTATACAATTAGGGCTGGTTTGCTACTGCACTATGATTGGCAAAAAAAAAAAATGTTTTCTTGAATGTCACCAGTCCTAAACTAATCAGTAAGTGTTGGTTCATTTGTTTTTCTGCATATAAATCCAGAATACCAACACTGCAAGAACTGAGCAGAGATTTTTTCTTCTCACTGTTACACAATTTTCAGGCAAATGCGTCTTGCGTAAAAACACTATGAATGCTTTGAAAGATTTCATATATCATAAAAAGTAGGTGAAGAATAGTATAGCGGGGTGACTTGACTTAACACCAAAATATGACGGACTACATTTGAGATTTTCAGCATTCTGTTATATACAAATCATGTTGCCTCAAACAGAAAAGAAACGCAAACACCTTAGTGTGCACTGGTGCAAACTCGCATTTTAGTAAATGTTTAAATATTTGCCAGAGAAGTCTCCTATTCAAGTCCTAACGAGGATGAGCTCTGGCTAGCATACATATCTGATTAACCACAATACAATGCAAGGTGACCGCTGTTCAGATAAAAGAGACAACATCTCTCCAAACACCATTCTCTCTCCAAGTTACAATCCTGGAAACAGCCAAACAACCCTCTGAGAAAAACAGCTCCTCTTCTGCTAAAAGATCACAGGTGGACCTTCCTGCTTCTAGCCATACAAGTAACAGCTCACGATGGTCAGAAATACACAGGAAAGCAATTTTCAAAGTTTCATTATAATAATTTTTCCTCATTCATCTCATTCCTTGCCATTTCAGAGTACCTCCAAGCACAGTAACCAAACTGTTCAGCTATGCTTTGTACATCTGCCAGGCACAGACATGCAAGCTGACTGCTTAACAGCAAACACAAGTGGAAGCACGTATCATCAGTTATTCAAAATGTCTAAAAATCATCTTACATTTTTTATATATATATGTATCTCAAAAGTCACCCTACATATATGCGGATCACCTAATCTACCATTATCATGATACACACAGCCTCCTCTGGACAAGAGACAGTAGTGCTAGAAAAGACCCAGTAAGGCATAATTTCCTCCAGAGCCTGAAGTGGAACATAAGGTTCCTGAGTTTCATCAGCAAATGACTTGGATCCAAAGGCAAACTGTCCAGTCTTGCTCTAGTGATGGACAACAGCAGACTACGACACTCATTATTTCAAGCAGTAAATGTCAGGATGATGAGACTGAAGGTTCTCAATGTTTCGGATCCATTAGGCAGGTGTCAACACTATCTTGATCTTGCTGGAATACAATGCACACAGCATTTATGTATCTACACATCCACAAAACTCATATATTGCACGTCAGCTACTTTTGATAGATACACGTTAAGAAGTAGAAATGTAAATAAAATTAAATCATGTTACCCTGCAGAGTGCCAAATAGGAAAGTTTGCTCATGCATTTCACTCTGTCATTTAAAATACACATAAACTGTGTTTCCAACCTTCTCTCACTCTAGTGACATTTATGCCCAAGTGTGTACAATTCCTTTACAACATCATTTCAAACTAATAAGTCATGCTCATTTAAATAAAAAAATATTAGAATGTTGAATGTCGTATACGAGATTACTGATCTACAAATTCTAGTATTTTAATCCCCCAGAGCAGTCAGTATTCAATGATTCAGCAGAGAATGGAAATATAAAAACAATTCACCCAACTAACTGTGAAATGGAAAATTCAACTGATTCCACGCAGGAACCATCCAAAACTCACCTATCAGATAAAATTTGCTCTTACTTTTGTCAGCATACAAATTAATCAAAAATATCCTCAAAAGAAAAAAAAAGCTTCAGTATTTTTACTCTCTTCTCTGACAGTGAATTCCAGCTAGAGGAAGAAGTTGCACATGATGAGTGGATGGTTCACAAAAGGGAGAAAGGGAAACAGCCCTAGAAAGGAGGAAAGACGCCAGATTAGTATTAGAATGATACCAGCAGCCAGTAGGAAACTGAAGAGCTGGCTAGTCAAGCCTGGCTGCTGAGACTATTTTAAGCTCATCACAGCAAACTGAAACACGTATTTCTCCTTCACTGTCCAAAGCATTAGTGTGTGACAGAGAGTCAGGTAAGTGACTCCGAAACTCTTGCTGTGGATTAGCATTTACTCCTCTTCCACCTCTTTGCAGTCCAGTTCAGAATTCAAAAGATGCATTATCCTAACTGCCAGAGCTGCAGAACTCCAGCTGGAAAATTAAGGCATGCAGCATTCAGTCCTGCTACTTCTTCAATTCCAATGCATGTTCCAAAACTGCTATTTATTTGACTGCTTTGATAATGCTTACAAAGAAAGGTACCTGATTTTCAATGGTCGTCTTTGAGGTGTGGTCATCTATACGTGGATTCATGCTGTGTATGTGTACATACACATAAGCATGAGGCCAAGTCTTTTTTTTGCCTCAGCAAAACACAGAAGTACATCTATAACCTGGCCTGTCTGTACACATGGCGTATAACCATAGAAGGGGCAGGTAGACAGCCAAAGCCCTCCCTTCTTCAAGGTCTTAACAAACATTACTGGTAGCTTCCAGGAAGGAAAAGGAATAGGAAGGCTGACTGCATCTAAAAACAACACATCTTGAAGAAAAACAAGCCAACACGTGACACAAAAAACCAGATTACTCTTTACATGATCCCATTAGCTTGAGGAGTCTCTGAACCCCTGGATCAAGAAAGACCAAAGACCACTGTCCAAAGGCAGTATCACACCAGGAGGCTTCAGTGAAAGCACACAGCTAACCGAAAGTGGAGAGGAGTGCCAGGTGGCAGCTCTCCAGATTTCGGGCACAGGAACAATAGGGAAGCCAATGATGATGTGTGAGCTGAGACTTGAGTGTTGAAACGTCTAAGGTGAAACTGCCTCATTACAGAATCCTGAATAATGAGCTATCAAGAAGAAACAGATATTACATCTTGCGGTTACTGACACCAAGAAACAAGGTATCTTTGTGAAGGATCGAGGCAGCCTGAGCTCTGGAGGCACCACTATCTGGTACAGGCAACCATAGGAAACACTGGTCCCAGGCTGCAGTACTCGTTATCCATCTCTGATAATGTTCTGCCATTTGCAGCTGAGGATCTGAAGCCCAGTAATGTTTGTGTCTGTGGGATGAGCTCTCACTTCCACACTTCTCCGCTGATGGAGCACTAGCTGAACAAGTACTGTTGGCACAGTAGGAGCTGAAACATCTCCCCAGTTTTCTTCTTGTACTGTGGGGAATTTGTGAACTTCCTCATACACAGGAGGAAGATCTGGCTGCTAGGAAGGTGCAATAGTATCTCTGGCTCCTAAACACTCCCCAGTTTCACAGAAGAGCTGACGGCTTCTTCCAGAAGAAGAAATTCTTGAAGCTTTTATCACTTGCCCTTTAGAAGCAGCAGTTTAAAACCAATGCATATTGAGAGAGCAGTTGTCTCAGATTATTTTCCATCATTTTCCACAGTAGATATGTCCTTCAGCTGACTCCTCCAAGAGAAGCATCTCCTGAAGAAATAAACTGAACAAAAAAGTAGCAACAACCTTCAACAAAAAAAATCTCCCTGCCAAGCTGAGCAGAGAAGCCAAAAGGAGGGTCAGAAAAACAGAGGCTCTAATGCAACAGGAAAAATCATTCTAGGAGGGAAAGCTCCTGTATTTAGAGGCTGAGAGGAAGCAAGGAACTGGGATGCCAAGTCGGGTGAGTAGAGTGGAGAGCACAACCCTTAAGGGAGCAGAAATTTCCTGTAAATAATAAAGCTTCTGCTGAAGCTAAAATGATTCCGCTTCAGGTGGTGGTTACATATACACATGCAGTGTAAATGTAGATTCGGACAAGCACTCAATGGAGATGTCATTGGCTCTCTAGGAACTAGGCTGGCCAACAGTGTCATGAGTGAACGTAGAACAAATGGTACTTTACATTAAGAAAACTCAGCTGAGAAGATAAACAAGAAAATGATTCGTCAGGAAAGACGATACTATAGTCATGTAATATGTAAGCTAAGATTAAGGAGGTGGCTTCTGCAGGTGAAGCATAATTAAGCTATGAACATGGAAGACTTTTCTCTGCTTCTCAAGTTTTCATACAAAGGTTATATGGAAGGTTGTAGACTTCAGGAATATCAAAACAGATGCTTTTGTATCCCCTCTTCTGCACAAACTCTAAGGATCAATGCTTTCCACCCGACCACACCTTCTCTCAAATAATACAACAGAAAAATTAGGTTATTTTCTATGACACCGAACAGCAGCATAGAACCATTTAGAAACTGTAAGAAGTGACCAGCCTTTCTCACTTAATAGCTAGGTTTTCTATCTATTGTCTAAAACATTACAGAATACGTACACATTTTTGTCAGAAAATTAGGATACAATCTAGGAAAGGCTTTGCAAAAACAAATAAAAAGATGGTATCTTGGTGTTTGCATTTTTTTTTTAACAGGAAACTAGACTGTGCATCCAGGACTAAGTAGAGAAATAGGTGGGCTTAATAACCAAAGAAAAAATATCCCAGTAAAACATAATGGTACAACAAAATAAACATTACTGTAATTACTACTGAGTACCTATTAAGCGCTTCTTTTTCAGTTCAACATATAAAACTATTTTACTACATCATGAGAAGCATCACAGCAGCTCCTATTCGCTCTTACAGTAAAAGGACATATACTTGTCAAATACCCCAAACATTATTTCTTCTCTTTCTCTCCTTAAGTTATATTGGGGTGGCTTGATTCTTTTTAATTAGTAATTGGGACTCCTCACTTCCCTAAACTTTGAGGTGTTCCAGCTGAAACTGAGCGAAGTAATTATGCTTTCAGAAAATTAATTTTCTTTCAGATATAATCAGTTACACAGCCCTAATTTCCGAAAGTATCAAGGAACATTTATCTAAACTATGGATTATGTGACTGATAAAGTGTATCATTTTAATATTTCTCTCTTAGACACCGTCACTTTTACAAAGAAACTTGCAGGATTCTCTTATTAACATACCAAATCCTTTATGACTGGATATTAACAAAATACAACCTCAAAAAGACTCTAATAATACCACATTTTAACTAGACATTATTAAATATTTAAAAAGCAGTAACATTCTGAAGAGATACAATTATAATGGAAAATGACAGGCATCATTAGACATTCCACCTGTAATGCAGAAAACAATTGAGAAGTCAAAAATTGAAGGGAGGGTTGTTCTGTCATGACAGCATGGATTGGATGCAAGAACCTTTGAATTTTATTCCTAACTTTCATCACTGACTTACTTTTGATTGTGTAGTACCATGCTGTATGCACTTAACTTTTATAGACCTCATTATCTGCTTGTTTATAAGCGGAAAATAATCATTCCTCTTCTCAAGGGTGCTGACAGTCTTGCTAATTGCAATACATTTTGAGATCATCAAAAGAAGTATCACATACAAGTGGAAAGCATAATGGTTATTTTATAAAAGCATTTATTAATCATCAAGATTTGGTTGTAACTTACTTAATTCCCAGTCCATCCTTATTTCTGAAGATAAGGGGAACTCTGAGAGCTTCTCTTTGCACATACTCAAAAGTAAAATCTGTTTGAATAATGAATAAAAAAAATCCAAAATCAATTACAATGGCATTAGCACCTCACATTACATTTTCTCAAAACGCTCCCCCATTTCCCTTTCTCACCAAAGAACTCCACTATTGCTTAAAGAAAAACGTACAGAGAATGCATATTTTAGGTCCAAACCGGAAACCAAATGACAGACAATGCTCTCCCAGCTGCTCTCTATTTTTCCTGTTCACTGATGCACATAAAATAGAATCCAGTCAGAGTTTGTCAATTAAGGTCTGGGTTGAAACACCCAGGCTGTAATCAAGTACCAAATTAACAGTTAAAAGATAATCCTAACTTACTGCAAATCAGCCTAGTACTTTGGGGGCAAATGTGTAGTTTCAACTGTATGTTTAAGTTTATACATTTTAAGCTATACATTTCTACTTAGGAGAAAACATAGTAATAATGCTTTCTTGAGAGCATTATCTGAGTATAGCAGAAAGCCCTGATTCTGTGAACACATCATTTTCTTTTTATGTGAGGGTTACTATTACTTTCAACAGAGTACTTTTTTTTAAATTAATCAGAAACATAACTGCAGGAGCTGATAGACAGAAACGTTATACAGCTCCTGGCACTTAGGGAGATGGTGAAAACGGAACAGTTTTTTGTGTGGGAGTCACAGTATAACACACAAGCAAACTGAAAATTAAACATAAGTTTGTTACGTTAACATTGACCAGTATCACCTTGTTGCTTCACTCTGAGGATTACACAGAACTGGCCTTTCCTGGGGGTTTCTTTATGCAATGGTCTGATACAATAGCAGTGATTTGGGGATTAGAGAGAAAGTTACAAGGCAGCGATTTGGGTGAGCCATGCCTACAAAACCCCACAGTCCATTTGGAGCCTTCTACCACAGAGAGAAGAAGAATTCCTGCAGTGGCCACGTACTGTTTCTATGGTTCTGCTATTCCCCCTTTCTTAAAGAAAAAAAATGACTTTTATATAGCACCCATACGCTACCTTGAACTGGAAAACGTTGTTTGACTCTTCAGCACTACAAAATACACTACATAATACACTACATGCTGCCAAATACACTATACACTTGATGTATGATATTCAGGTACACACAAGTAGTTTAACTTCTCCAAGATTCCCAGCAATGCACATGCTTCCTGGGAGAGCATGAGAACCTCAGACTCGAGCTTATATCGCTGATGTTTCTCTGCTATAAAAACCCATACTGAAAGAAATAGGGGAAACAGAGGCTAAGCTCCCATGCCTGCAGACATATTACCCTCTGTTTTCACAGCTTTTTCCTTGCTGTATTCAGTTAGTAATTATGACAAGTAGGGATATAATATTCCTACTTAAAGTTACCAAATCAGAGCACAGTAATTATCCATTTACAAAAACATTAAAATTACAGAAACTTTATTGCTACGAGTCTCAAAATAAGTGTAATGAATACTCCAATTAACTAAGGTTACCAAATAAGTATTTCTGTACTAGAGAAATCTTCATTTCTCATAGGTATTCCCATTAACACTCTTCTGGCTTTAGGTAAGCAAATAAACAAACCAGATATTTTTTTAAGGACACTCTCATCCAAGACAGAAAGTCAACAGACATCAAGAATAATATCGGTGGGAGAAGCAGAGGCAAATATACAGGCTAGCAGACTAGAGAACAAGTAGCTACGACAAACTGCATTCAAGCCAAAAATCACACCACTGCCTTGCAGCATCTTGAGGAAAACTTCCAACCCACATTCCCAGGAAAAAAAAAAAAAATCAAAGAAGAGCTATCATTAAAAATAAAAACAAGGACATGGGAAATAAAAATAAATAAATACATCGCTCAACCAGTTCCATGTGTTCGTAGAAACTGACTTTTTCATTCTTACTAACCACTGTCATTGTTTTGCCTAGATTCAATTCAACTCTCGGATTTACAGAAAAAATAAACCAATAGTAAAAATAAAAACACAGCAAATAGGAAGGCAGACCCTTTCTTCCTAATGCCCCAACAAAGCATTTAAATCCCTTGTGGGGCTGAACAAAGCAGACACAGACCACAACAAAATAACAAAAGACACTCATTTATTTTCAAGTTCCCCAGAATGAAAAAAGCTACCCAAAGATTTTAGAGCTGCTGAGCTAGGGAAGCTGTGGATTGTATTATAGTTAGCATGTAGCAATGGCAACCGCTGGAGTATTTGGAAGATGAGGGTAGAATGCAATAATTTTCTGGAAAATTAATTAACATTTTCCAGCTAAAAAATAGGTGTTTGTGTTTTGTTTGGAGGAAGACCGGGCAGGGTTGAGCTTATCTCCTACACAAATACCTTCCTAAATAAGATAGGTATTTAATTTCTCCACCACATTAACTTTTCTAAAAGGAGCTTAAAATGCTCATGCAAAGCTAAGCCTAGGGGAGAAAAGGAAATTTTCTAAACTAGATTAGTGGCTCCATAGTTATAGCCATTTCAGGAGGATTACAGCCAAAACTCCTCTTTCCTGAGAAAGCCGGCTTAGACAGGGAGTCCTGAATGAGGCCGGTTTGGTGATAGCCATCTGGGATTCAGGATCCGTTTCAACAATGCCGCAGTAAATAAAGGTGACTTGCAACCCCTCCCCAGCCTGTTTGATTCCCGGGCAAACCTCTCCCATTTTCCTTCCTGCCAGGCAACCGTGCTGCAGAGCTGGGCTGCCTGGCTTTGCTTACCACTTCGTGATTTAAGTCACCTAAGCAAACCAAGTAACTACGGGGAAGGGAGCGTTGTAATTTAATATACGATATAAACACAAAGAAGTTATTGACTTTAAAGTCTCCGACCCTGGCGAACAGGCTCATCAATTGCATCCTTTTGCAAAAGGGGTCCCGGCTTCAATAGGGGGCGGAGGGGGAGCAGGAATCACCTCCGGCTAAGTGGGGGCTGGGGTTTCTGCCTCTCCTTTGCCAGGACCTAATTCCTGAACATCTCGGTGGTGCGCTGGGGTCACGGTAGCGGAGCACGTTGGAGGTGGGGGGAGCGC